AAAATAATTTTGCAAGGAGAAATCCTACTTTACAATAGGTTTTCAATATCACTTAGAAAATTCTCAGAGTCATATATATATGTTCTTAATTCAGGACCTTCCATTAAAAAAGACATTACAGAGGGAAGTGAAGGGCCATTTAGTACCCTTGTTTATATAAAAATGCATATTAGGCACAGATGCAATCTCCAGCAGAAGACTTGGGATACAGCTGGAATAAGCTGTGCTTTGCTGGAAGGTGCTAATGAGGGTTGGCAAAGATGCCAGGGAATGCCAACCACTCTTGCATCCCCCTTATTTTTAACTATTCCCCACCTCCTGACCCCCCTGTGGAGCCACTGGGGAGGGAGGTGGCAGTGGGGGGTTGCTGAGGGGCTGAGCCATCCCCTCTCCTGCCCCCCTTGGATGTGCCCACGACACCTCCCCAGGACCCTGAACCCACAGGCTGGGGGGACTCTCACCTTCTGTGCAAACCTTTCAAAGGCAGCTTAAACAATGCTAAAAAAAAGAGGTTTATACCCAAGGTCAGGCCCTACAGATTCCATCCTGTGCAAGAGCCCCTGCTGGAGCTGGAGATGGATCCATGGGATGAGCAGGATGGGATGTTCAGGTCTTCCAAGAAAACGGCTGAGCTGCCACTTCCCAGGTGCAGGGCACACACTCTGCTGAGGCTGCAGCTTCTAAAACAGGCCAGCTTAAAAAAAAAATAAATAAAACCAAAAAAGATTTAAAATTGGCAGGTTGAACTTTGCATCAATTCACAGTGCTCGGCTACAGTTTTAAAGTGTATAAAACTATTGATCAGAAGCCAGGCAATTACTGCTGCCCGTGTTTACAGCCACGTGGAGGCCAAAAGGAGTCGTCACTGACCCACCCACAGTTCCCATTCCCTCCTTCTGGGGGAAGAGCTCACGAGGAGGCTCCTCTGAGTGAGGCCACACTCACCCCCAGGGCTGGAGTCCTCAAACCAGTCATGGTTAAATCATGGAAATTGCCAAGCTGCAAACAGATTTGGACATCCTGCTTAATTGGAAGCTAAAATACAGGTGACCTGTGCATGTACTCCTGGTGTACTCACAAATAGTTCATCTCCAAAGGCTTCAAAAAGCATCCTTGGAGTAATTACTATTCCCTGTCCTTTGGAAGCATGAGAACTTCTTCAGGTACCTCCACACCTCCATCATTTTGAGCTGGGCCTTGAAACAGCTGTAATAATTAGAGTATTATTAGATTTTTATTATTTCTAATCTCTATATATTAGATTATTAATAGCTGTAATTTAGGTGAGATATTAGGAAGAAATCCTTCCCTGTGAGGGTGGGCAGGCCCTGGCACAGGTTTCCCAGAGAAGCTGTGGCTGCCCCAGCCCTGCAAGAGTCCAAGGACAGGTTGGGCAGGGCTTGGAGTGACCTGGGCTCTGGAAGGTGTCCCTGCCCAGGGCAGGGGGTGGCACTGGCTGAGGTTTAAAGTCCCTTCCAACCCAAACCAGTCTGTGTTTCTGTGAATAACCCTGAGACTGAAGCCCAAGGCAGGCCAAAGCACAACAACCCCTCCAGCTCCCAGGCAGTTCCCCCCAGCCCTGGGAGGACCCCGGTGCCAAACCTGAGCCCCGTGGGTGCCACACCCGGCTCAGCCTCTGCAGAGACCCCTCTGCAGTGACCAACCCCGAGCGTGCACGGCGTCGGGGCGGCAAGTTTTGTAGAGAATAAATATCACACTTCAATTTCATGGTAACTTAGGAGGGTTTACTGGCAAATACCATGGCTTTTACATGGTTCTACCAATTACCAGGCAATTACACGTAACCCAGATCTGGAGGACACATGGCAGCCACCTAATGCATTCCTCTCTCCTGGAAAAGAAAAAGGCAGTTAATAGAAAAGGCTCTTTTTTTTTTTTTTTTTTTTAATAATTATAAACCCTTCCCCAATATTCCAGTGTGACATTATTAAAACCCCACGTCGATACGAAACCCAAAGCAGCGACTGCCACCCCGTTAACACATCAGCCGTGGGACGATCGATGAAAAAATTTACTTGAAACTGCACCATATGTCGCTCCCCACAAAGTTTTATTATTCAGATTCGTCAGTTTGTACCTCAACCCCCTCCCCATGCAATTAAATCCCGTTTAGCAGCACTGACCTTCCGATTCGAACTCGTCATTCCTGCAGCTGGTTTGGAGTTCTAACGGCACTTATTTAAATAAGGGAAACAAAGTGCCTGTGAATTAACAGTGGGGTAACAGCGAGGTCTCCGTGGGGAAAGCCCTCCCAGCAGCACAGCTCCCATGCTGGAACAGGGAGAAGGGGAGGAAAAAATAAAGGGGAAAAAAAAACAACAAACAAGCCAACAACAAACCAAACCCAAAACAAAGAGTGCCAGCACATTTAAACGTGTTGCAGCATATTTGTAAACATCGTTAATCACGGATTAGCAGATGGTAATGTTTAATTGCACCTGTGGAAGTAACAAGACCTCAAGGTTGATTACATTTACAAACCTGGATGGGGGCTGCGGCGCGGCGGAGGATACCAGAGGTGCCCCGTGGGCAGCATTCCCAGCTCCTGCCCCGGCCCACAGCACCCCACACTGCTCCCTCCAGCTGTGCCCCCCCTGCTCCCTCCAGCTGTGCCACCCCTGCTCCCTCCAGCTGTGCCACCAGCTCCAGCTTGGCCACGGGAAAGGTGTTCCCTGTCCCAGAGCCCTTCCAGCCTCCCAGACCTCCCGGGCCCCAGGGATGGATCTGATGGGACGGCATTTTTTCAGTTGTGTTGACAATGTAAGCACCAAAGCAGAATGTGGGGCAGGAGCTGAGCTGTTGGCACAGCCAGAGCTGCCCAGGGCTGGCCTGGGGAGATGATGAGAACATTTGTGTTCTCCCCAGACTGAGGATAAAGCAGCAACATCGCCCAACTCATCTTCTGAACCAAGGAGGACAAATATTTTGCCACTGTGCTCAGAGACACTTTGATTATTGAGAAATCATTCTGGAAGGGCAATTAGTAAATTTTAAAATCAATTTGGTAAATAAGCCTCTGAAAGGAATCCATGACAAGCAGCAGGGAGGGAAGAATTGACTTTCAAATTACACACACACACACTTTATTCATATCTAAATATCAAAGGGGCTCTATGTACAAACAGAAGTAATCAGGAAACACGTTTTGATCTTGCTGATGTACACAAAAAATGACAATTAATGTCCTCCTTTATGATATAAAGCTGTGAGTTTTTTACAGTTACATTACAGGGACGATTATAGTCAAGCTTAGGGCTAAAAATAATGAAAGACTATAAAAACTACATTTTAACATTTAAAAATATCCAGGAAATTAACTGGAGAGGCAGGCAATGATCCAATTAATGGATTGCATTTATTAGATCGGGGGCAAGTCACACAGCACCAAGCTCCAGCTCCAGAGGTGGGAGAGTGCAGAGGTCCCCGTGCTCCTCACGGCTCTCAGGATGGGGCTGGGCCAGAAGGACACAACAGGTACATCCAAAAGTCAGAAGAAAGCGAGGCTAAAACTTATCCACTGAGGGAAATGGGATAAATGTGAACAGCCCAGCTGTCCAGAGTGGGATTCACCTCGCCCAGAAGAGCCCCGTGTTGCAGCTCTCAAGCAGAAAACTCAAGGCTGCAGCCCCAGAATGTGCTCAGATTCCTGCCTCTGAAAACTCAAGCCTCAGGCAACCCCCAGTAAGCCTTGTCTGATGCTCCAGTGCCAAACCAAGGTGCTCTGTGGATACAGGACTGGGAAATCTGCAGGGTAGGAGTGATGGACGGGCAGGAACTTCAGTGTACCCCTCGCTCTGCTGGCAGAGCTGCTGCGGGCACTGAGGTTCCAAAGCTTTTTGGGAACCTTCCAGAGGCAAAGGAGCTGTTCCATGGTTGCTCACCTGCCTCCTCGTTGAGGGGCTGAGCACAGACTGACAGCATCCATCTCTCCCAAGCACACAACGCCACGAAGTGCCTCCTCTGTTACAGTACTGCTCAAATTAATTAAAAAAAAAAGGCAATAAAAAGGCAGAAACAGCAGTGAGATGGGAAATAAATATACTTACCTATGGGTCAAGAGTAAAGAAGCAGCTTTACCCTGATCCCTGCTGCTCCAGAGGAAGGATTCAAGTGCTCAATCTTCGAATCTTTCCTCTGAAAAAGGAGCAAATCTGAGCCACGGGCACCCTCTGCTGGGGCAGCCACGGCTGGCAAGCAGCACCACGGGGCTGGCTGAGGCCTCCAGGCTCTTTTCAGCTTTAAAAGAGAAAAAAAGGGCACACTCAGCCCCCAAAATGCATCAGCTGTCACCCCACACTGCACCAGTTCAGGTTCAGGCAGCAAACCCGTTCGCATGAGCGTTGTTTTGGAGTGGTTTGGGGTTTGTCCTGCATGGGCACAGCTCAGCATACCTGTCACCACACCAGGCACTCCCTCCATCACAGCCACAGCAGTGAGTCCTGGACACCTTTCAAGAGCTCCTTGTCCTGTCCTGTGCCCCATCCCAGGCACTTGGGGTGTCCCCAGTCCCGCAGCACCCAGACCCTCCCAGGGAAAAACCTCCATGTCCACAGACCAGTTCACAGACATCACTTAGCTCAAAGTCCTAATTAGTCACTGAGAGTGATTTACTCGTTCATTTGGAAGTGGGGGAGGGGGCAGACTAAGCAGAATTGTTTGAAATTATCCCTAAAGGGCACAGTAAATTAAGTGTTAATGAGGAATCCTATGCAAAGGGCCACGGTAGCTAAATAAAATAATTAAGGTGCTAAGTGATAACATTCTTTTGGTTCTCAATAATTTAGCCAGTCTGGTTTTCATCCAGGATATTTGCAAATGAAGCCACCCCAATGCCATCAGCAGGATGCTGGTGCAGCTCAGCATCCAGCAGAATCAGGCCCACCACGGAAAGGAAACCTTCCTGGAAAAAGATCCCTATTCCCACCTGAAGGAAGTGCTCTGCTAATCACACTGGATTTGTATGACATAGAATGCATTGATTCGAGTCTACACCAAACTTTACAGGAGCTTTATTTCCAAGGGCTGTGTGTTTTTCCCCACAGTTTTCCAGCAGCTCATTCCATCCCTCGGCAGGGCTGCACAACCAAGCACTGCTTCACAACCAAGCACAGACAAAGCCTCTCCTCACGAGGAAGTCCCTGCTGAGGGTTCCAAAGCACAGCTGGGCTGTCAGCAGCTCCCTCTCACTGCTGAGCGGGTGGTGGGCTCAGGGTGGGCACAGGGCTGGTCTCAGTGGCAGCACCAGCCAAGCACTTTCCCCTGCAGCCCAAATTCTCTCCACAGCTCAGGTGATGCACAGCATCCCCTGTGCAATGAGCAGGAAGCTCACAGCCACCCCTGGGTGTTCTCCTGCCAAAAACTGAAGGATACAGCCGGCTGCTTTCAGACCTGGCTTGGTCTCCCTTCCCTGGAGCTGCTCCTCCCAGGTGCTACCCAGGACAGGAGGTGTCTGCCCTGGGCACTAATCCAGCGATCTGGGGGCATCTTCTACAGCCAAGATGCAGCTCAGGTCAGTGTGGCTGTGCCTGTGACCTGCAGAGATGGTGAACACTCTAGGAACAGCTTTTCCATCTCCACACCGAGCAGAGCCAGGGAATGCTGAGCAGCTTCCCCCACCACACAACGAGGATTTCAATCTCCATGCCTCCGTTTCTGGCTGCAGATGGAGTGCAGGAGGATACCTGTAGGAAAGTAAAAAATAAATAAATATTGTGAGCTTCTTTTTTTTTTTTTTTTTAAACCACAAGAAAATCGTTCTGTGGGCCTGGGTGTTTGATTTTTAAACACAGAAGTCTGAAGTTCAATGCCTCTGTGCTCAGAGCTGCTCTTACCAGTGGCAACGGAGACGTTGAGCGAGTCGATGCCGGGGTGCAGGGCTCTGCCAGGGGGGATGGCCACCATCCTGTGGCACAGGAGCTGTGTCTCCAGGGAAAGGCCCTCCCCTTCACTACCTGCAGGAGAAAGACACTGCTCACAGCTGCTGCCATGTCCCTGTCCCCCCTCCTCAGAGGGGGCTCTGTCACACCTACACCCTCACCCTCAGCTCGCCAGGAACCTCAGCAGCTCCCACACAGCAACAGCCAAGAGCTACCAGGGCTGAGACAGGCACCTTCCTACCTTCCCTCCCTGCATCTGTTCTCCACTAGCAGGTGTTTTTGAGGAATGCTGTGCACCTGCACACAGCACAGAGCCCTGTCCGAGCACAGAGAGCCCCTGCACGAGCAGAGCTGTGCCAGCACAGAGCTGCCCGTGCCCACGGGCTGCTGGCACTGGGACAAGGCAGCCAAGAGGGCACAGAAATCCAGCAAATCCCACATCCCTATTGCTGGTGACGGGCTCAGCCTTCCCAGCACACACAGCCACCGGCGGGGTGCAACTTGTGCATGCAGACAGTTTAACCAGAGGCTTCAATTGATTAGTTGTTAAACCATCCAACAGCCCTGATATGTTTGGGCTGATACACTGGTGAAACAGAGTTGAAATCTATCCCAGGTCATTAGTAGTTGTTTGACTCACACTGTCACAAAGGGAAATGGAAAGGGAGAGGCTTTAAACAATCCTGTGCGCAGACAAGTGAAAATGCAGAGGGCCAGGGACCTCCCAGCCCGCTTGGCTCCCCAAAGAATTCCTCCACATTCATTATTTAGAGCTACACAGACAGTTACACAGATGCAGGAATAGCCAGCTCTCTCCAAAGACCTCTGGCAAAGCAGGCTCAGCATGTGGGAGCCAAACATTCCCCTCCAGCAGCCACAGCCTGACCTGGCTGAACCCCAGACAGGGTGACAGCAGGAATCAGAGCCAGGCCTCCCACGGCCCAGCCTGCCTCTTCATCACTACCCCGTGGCTCTCCAGGGATGCTTAAAAAAACCCCAAAAATAGCATCCTACTTTTTCCTGATTGAACATAGAAAAGTTTTACAACTTACAGTCATATTTGCCTCCTGAGCCTCTCAAACCACACTCTCTTGGGACTCTCCAACTGGGACAGCAGCAATTGCCAGAGGTGCAGTGGCTCCTGGAGCAATCCCCTCCTGTCCCTGATAAGGGTCTTACGATTCCTAATAAAGGTACCAATTTTGCTCCCAGCTTTTACAAAGCTTTTTATGGATCTAGCTGTTTAAAATAATTAGGAACCATAAATTTAGGGCAAAAAGGCTTGCACAGTGTGACACGAGGGAGGGAGTATTGACTGAACCAGATTAAATCCTGGTTTATACTGGTGAACAAAACACTTCCCACTACAGATCTTTAACTTCCATCTCTTAGCTTTGCTCCTCAATGAAAGGCTTCAAAGCCCAGTGTTAGAGTTTGGTGAAATGATAAAACAGGTTTCCTGCCCCGCTTTACAATCAACACCAGTAACAACTGCAGCTCCCCAGTGCAGGAAGTTCCAACCCACGCAGCAGGAGCAGAGAAACACACGAAATGAGCATCTGCACAAAACCACCGACCCCGTGAACAGCCCTAAACCCCGAGCCACAGACTGCAGGTTTGAAAGGAACAGATTACCTACACACTCTTCTCACTCAGCTGTCTAAGTGCTCCCCATCTGTTCCTGCCCACACCAGGCTCCCAGTCCTGAGGGCAGCCAGCCTGGCTGTCACCTCATTAAGCTGGACTGTCCAAATCACTCTCTGCCAAGCCAGCCAGGACGCCAGGAGGGTGAACTGGGGGTCTGCAAGCACTTAACTTACAAGACAATCTGTGTGGTGCCAGGAAGCTCACTCCCAGGCTGAATTATCTCCGCTGCTCCCTGCAGCTGCAGGAACGCTACATATTCAGATCCAGGACGTTTCTCCCAACAACCTCAGCACCAGATGACTGTAATGTTCAATTTTCTTTCCAGAGAAGAGTTAGTGCTCAGCAGAGAGTTGAAATCATTACTGCTGCAAGGTCCGGGAGCTCTCCTCATGCATCTACCAATCAGCCTCCAATCTCCCCTGACAAAAGGATATTTGGACTTTTTTCCTGGAGAAATCTCTCATAACTCAAGGTAACGACACCGCTGCCACTCTCAACCCCTGCCTTTCTGCGGGTGTTGGGATGCATTTCTTTGTGGCCCATCAGCAGTGCTGCCAGCCCGCCTGCTCCCTTTGTGACACAGCTCCACACGTCTTGTAGAGGTGCCAGATTTGCGGCGCTGCCTTGTCAGGACTTCCAGGGGCTCAATAAACATTTTAATTAAAGGAATGTCCTCCTCTGAGCCGAGATCACCGTGGCACAGGGCGGGATTGCAGCCCCTCCACGGCTCGTGGCCAGCACAGCCTCCAGGTGTGGAAGCTCAGAGCAGCCCCTGTGCCTGCAGCAGCACTTCTGGAGGAGTTTCTGTCTCTGACTGCCACAAAAGCCGTTCCTGCCCTTCCGTTTCAGCTTCTGGGAGGCTGCAGGACCTCAAACTCTGCCCACAGAAGCAGCATCCTTTGCCAGTATCCTCTGCACTGAGGGAGCAGAAGCCCTGAAGGAATTACCCAGGTCAGGGGGACAGGGAAGTGGCACCCACTGCTCCCAACAGGGAGAGGTTACACCTGCTCCTGCAGCCAACACCTCCTGCCTCCTCCTGGCTGTACAGAAACAACCACTGACTGCTCCCTGTGATGGTCCCTGTGCCCCAAAGCCCAACCTTGCATTCAGACCATGCCAAACGAGAGCTCCTCGTGGTTCTTTCCAGACCTGGGCACAACATATTCCTGTTTTTTCAAGAGGAAACATGACAGAGCCGTGACATGGCCCTGCTCACCATCCCAGCCCCTGCACAGCAGGAGCAAACACGCACCTCTGGGGCTCCCCCTCACCTCTGGGGTTCACCCAGCCAGGAAATCCAGGCTTGGCGCTCCAGGAGAGGATCCAAAGCAGCACAGAGCACAGTTCAGAACACCTGGCACCGAAACTGCCACCCAGACCCTCTGCAGCTGCTCCAGTCCCTGTGCACCCACACAAACTGCTCGCTCCTGCAGCTCCTACTGGGAGGCTTTCTCAGCTGCCCCTGCTCCTCTGGGTCCCCATTTCCCAGACCATTCTTTTTTTTTTCTTTTCCAGACAAAGTGTGATGTACCATAAGGGACCTGCAGTGAAACCTGCCCCTGGTGGTTCCTCCCACCTGCACTCCCACCCAGCCCACAGCCCTGGAAATTCCAATACCTATTACTACAATAAGGGGTTTATCCCACTGAAATTCCAAGCAGCTGATGACAGGAACGTCTTCCACATCCTCAGGTTTGCTGACTGTTCCCACCACTTCCCAGCCTTCTGCAGTTTTAGCCTAGAAAAGGAAGGGAAACAAATATTCGAGTATGGTCAATTTTTCAAGCTTAAAAAGAAAATAAGTCATGTATGAAAAGACACTGGTGGGTTTTTTACATTTTCAGTTAAGCTGACTGTTTTTTCTGTATTTTTCAAGGCATCCCTTGAATTTTTACCACCGAAGTGCTCCCACTATCAGCACACAAACCTTGACTTGAGAAACAACAACAGAGTAATTTTCCTTCTGGCATTTATTCCAGTTCAGTAAGCAAACAAACAGCAACTGAAAAGCTTTTTTTTTTTTTTTTCTGCCCATGCAACAGTTCTAGGAGGGGTTTTTTTGCCAGGAAAGCATGCAAAAAGAGTGGTGTTAAACAAATTAGCATAAGGTTAATGCACAGAGCAGTGCAGTGGAAGTTCTCGGGTGCAGGCTCAGCCACCAGAAGCCCACAGTGACATTTGCAAACTCAGATGCCAAAATTCAGCTCCCACAAAAGGCAGGGCACTCAGCACTCAGTGCCTCACATAACTAGAGAACCAAACCTCCCTCCTGAACCCTGGTAAAAAGAGCCTTAGTTACTTGTGTTGGAAATCCATTTTAACAATAAAAGAGCTGCTGCTTCTTGCCAGGTTCCTTTCCTGGGAAACTGGCACTTTTTATACCACGTTATATCAAATTTACTCCAGCCAGGCAATGCCAGGGGTGAGGCCCATGAGTCCAGGTCCAATTAAATGATCTGCTGAAATGGCTTGAATTGTTAGTAATTCAAGCTTTACAGTAACAAAGTGATCCTTCCGGTTTTTCAATTAAATATCAAAGGTATTTTATGTATCTTTCATTTCACCATCACCCAGAGCCCCAGCTGCCACAGACCCACTTCTAGCAGCAAGTGGGCAGAGTCCAGGCTCTCCTCTCCTCTCCAGGCCAGACTGTGACAAGCTCATCCTCCAAGGGACACAGGCCCACAATACCCATTCACAGCCACATCCCTGGGTTTGTTTCAGTTTAAATCCCGTTTTTCCATGTGCATTCCCTTTCCTTCTGCAGCACGTTCTGCAAAGGGCCCTATCTCACCTCACTGCATAGGTACAGTGTAAAAAGATTCCCAGCAGCTCGCCAGCCCTGCTTTCTCCTCTATTCCCTGCTCCAGAGGCTGCTCCAAAGGCTGCCCAATGCTGCCATCGTGTGCCTGGGCCCCGGGATGCTGCCTCTGCCACGCTCCAGGCACAGCTCCAGTCTCCAGGGAGGGCAGGGAGACACATCCCAGCATCACTGAGCCCACAGCCCGAGTGTGGGAGAGCCACAGGGTTATCCTGCTACCACCAGCTTCCAGGAAAAACACCCCCAGCCGATGGAATGGGGCTGGAGGGGGCTGTGCCTGTCACTGGTGGTGCCACAGCACAGACCACTGGCAGCAAACAGGAGTGCACAGCAGGAGCACAGACACTGCCAACAACTCAGTCGTCTTCCTGATCCACACAAGCAGTATTTGAGTTTTCTTGAAAGGAAAGGGGGGATAAAAACAGTGAATCTTTTCTACCTTCAAAAAGCTCTGGAGATCATCTGTGCTGTAGACATCGAAGACCTCCATGGCTCCAGCGCTGGCTTTGCTCACTGTCGGAGTCAGGGGGCAGCTGCAAGGGAAGAACAAAGAAAGAGCGTCATACAAGAGCAAAAAAAGGAAATCCAGGCGAATTTTTGTCTCCTTATTCTCTTCTATGGCCTCTGCAGCCCTACTCCAACCAGTCCACTACAGATCCTGCTCGCTATAGGGTTGTGTTTTCCTATGGTGGGCTCAGGAATTAACCCAGGAAATAGCTCCCAGCAGTTTTGTGCAGATGGGACAACTGAAACACGAAATGGGTTAAAACTAGAAGTGCCCAGAGAGGGTTCCTTCCCAGCCTGGAATACCACATCCCTCAGCCTCAGCAGCCACCCAAAACCCTGCTCCCCAGCTCGGCCCCAGAAAGCTCTTTTGATGCAGGCTGGAACCCCTCTGGGAGCCAGCAGGGGAGGAAAGAGGGGCTGCAGGAGCAGACGCAGAGCCCCGTACCTGTTCCTGTGGCTGGTCACCACTCTGTCCACCCCCAGGAAGTACGCGGAGCGCAGCAGTGCCCCCAGGTTCATGGGGTCCTGGATCTGCTCCAGCACCAGCCAGATCACCTGCCGGTCCCCACTGCCTTCACCCCCCAAACCGGGCGTCTCGGCGTCCTCCAAACTCTTGAACCGCAGCGGGGCGGCCTCCAGACACACTCCCTGGTGGACCTGACCCCTGCAGAGCTCGTCCAGCTCTCTCCGCTGGACGTGCAGCACCGGCACCCCGCGGGCCGTGGCCTGGAGCACGAACTCGCTCATCACGGGCCGCCGGGAGCTGCTCTGCTTGAGGAACAGCCTGAACAGCTCCCTGCGCGCCTGGCTGAGGGCCAGGGAGCACGGCCCGACCCCGAACAGGATCTCCGAGCCCTTCGTCCTCTCCAGCCGCAGAGGCTTTCGCTCCATGCCTTTCCTCGCCCTCGGGAACTCATCCAGCTGGGACAGCCACAGCTCCCGCCCCGTGGCCGACCCGCGCCCGGCCCCTCTGTGTCCCGGCCGGGGGTGTCCCCGCGGGGTCCCCCGGGAGCCGCCGGAGCCGGGATGCGCCCGGGGCCCCGCGGGAGGGATGCGGGGGGACCTCCCTCGGCCCGGCCCGCGGGCGGGGGCGGCTGCTCGCGGGTGGAGCGGTGCCGGAGCCCGCACGGCCACCCGCACAGCCCCAGGGCGCGGCACACGCGGGGCGTCAGCATGGGTGCCCACGGGAAGCCGGGAATGCCGCCCAAGGAGGGTGGCGAGTCCCGTTCAATCCCCCGTCCCAGCTGAGCCGGCGGGAGGCGGCCCCGCCGCGGGGAGGGAAAACACCGCGCTCCGCTCCAGATCCGCCCAACACGGGCACGGGAAGGGGCTGGGGAGCTCCCGGCCCCGCAGGACCCGCTCGGGGGTTGCTCGGGACACGCGTGGGGAACCCCAGGCGGCGCCGCCGCCGCTCCCGCCCCGCCCGCTCCGGTTCCGGCGGAGCCCGCGGGTCCCGCCCCGCCCGGCAGCGCCGTCTGGCGGCGGGGAGGGGAATGACCCGCGACTTCCCCCGCTAATGAACAGGAGCTTAATTAACCACGGAACAGCTTTAAACGCCTAATCACGGCACTTCTAATCGCTGGGAAAAAACAGGGAAGGGGCTGGCCCTGGTCTAGCCCGAGTGGTTTTAATACGAACGGTGAAATGAGCGTGCGAACGGCGGGGGGGGGTTTCTCCGCCACCCCGTTCCCAAAGACCTCTGTGCTTGGACAACCTGAAAGGGGACAGGGGAACAAAACATCTTCAGTTAACAGTGACAATTCTGCCCCTAATCCAGACCGTGGTTCCCCCCATTTCTGATGCCAGGCTCATCCCTTGCACAGTTCAGCCAAACCCAGCCCACCTGGGGAGTCCAGGAGTTGTGGCTCCGTTTGAACAGGGACAGGTGAGTCCAACCTCCACGGGTTATCCGTGAGACACCTGGACCCTGTTCTGCTCTAGGAAGTAATTATGTTTATTCCCATAAACAACCACAACGTTTCTGTTTGAATTTGTCACTAAGCAGAGGTTTAGCTGGGAACGGCAAAAAGGCACAAAAATGACAAAACACACCACAAGCCACGGTGTGCCTCTCTTTTTATTCTTTATTTTACAGCTCACAGTTAGAAACCTACTGATAAATTACACGGCTGATCCTCCCGTTTGGGGGGGTTTCAAATGCCTCAGGAGGGGTGTCCCACCTCATCCCAGGGAGGTTCCACGAGGCCGAACAACCCGCACCGAACCCTCCGCGGGCTGCGCTTCATGGGGGAGGTTGACGGGCAGCAGGGATTACCCCCTGGAAACACACACACTGGAAATGGAAAAATATACTGCACATCATTTCAAGACTTGCAAATGTTACAAATGTTCTTAAGGGGAAAAAAACAAAAAACAACACAACAAAACAGCTTGCAGGGCTGCAGGGCAGCCAGGTTGTGTTTGCAGGGAGGAACTACCCAAACTGGCCCTTCTTGAGCAATTCTCTCCAAATCCTTCTTTCACAGAGAGATAAGTTAGGTCCCTCCTCAGCCACGCATTTCAACATCTGCTGAACTTTGCACACAGTTGCTGCCACCAATTCAGTGTTTCACCACATCCCTGCTGGTTTTTTTTTTCCTTCTCAGAAAGTTCCCAATTTCTCAAATTTATTTTTTTTTTGGCCTCCAGCTCCCAGTTTAACTTCTTTCTCCTAAAAAGATGGTACACACACTGCACAGAGCACCTGCTGGATTTGCTCTGTGCAGAGAACCCACACTAAGCCACAGCCTCAACAAGCTGGAGGAGGGCAGTGCACTAAAGTCATGCAAGAATTTCACCCACAGTAAATTAAAAAGCCACATCCAGAGAGGAGGCTCTGTGCACTTGCCAGTAGAAAGTGGTGACAGATGAGGAATGGACAGAACACACCATGGGCATGTGTTGATAAACAGGAAAAAAAAATAAGTGGGGCAAATTGCCTTTGTTTTGCCATTATGAAGGAACATTTTGCCAGTTTTCTCCTTGTATCCTTCCACAGCTGCTCACCTTTGGCACAAGGAATTTTAGGTATCACGAGATTTCATTAATAATAATACTTCATACAACACTCAGCACTTACACAGCGCTTCTCGTGGTCAAAGTGCTTTACAAAAGCTTGTGAGTCCTCACAACACCCCTGTGAGGTAGGTAAGTATTATTATCCCCATTTTACAGATGGGGAAACTGAGGCAGAGAGGTAAAAGTGACTTGCCCAAGGCTGTACAGGGAGCTGAACTCATGTTGTAGTGGCCCAATTCTGGCCTCCCTGACGGTGGGGTAACACAGATGAACTCCCAGAGCTCTACTGGTGTAAGCCAAACCATCCAACCCAAATTTCTCAGGCTCTCAGTCCTCTGCTCCGACCAGCTGACCATCCCAGCTCCACCTGAACCAACATGTGCCCTCAGAAACACTGCACAGAGTCCAGCAGGAGCAGGACCTGAAATCTTAAGGCAACGTGTCCAACAGCTCCAGAGAAGGCTGGACACACAGAGACCACACTGCAAGGAGTCCCAGACAACCCCAGTGGTCTCCAGCTCTGCATGGATCTGCTTTGAGGCCCATCCTCTTCTCCCTCAACAGAGCAAACCCAGAGCAAAACACTGGGGCTGCACCAGTGTAGCACTAGCACGAGGTCTGGCCCAGCCCTTCCACCTGCTGCTTTGCAGGCAGACACCCCTACAAGTCTCTTTTCACTTCAGACACCTTCAGACGGTTCATTTCGCTCTCCCTCTCTCTCCGAGTTTGCATCTCTCCTCATGAACAAACTCCCAGCATTTCCAGCTCCTCAGCACCAGCATTTCAACAGCACCAGACATCTTTCTAAGACTGATCCACGTTTCCAGAAAAGTGTCAATGCATGCAAATATCACATACAGAACATCGAGAGTGCTGGGAGATGATACCACGGGTAGAGGTGATCACAAGACAGCACACGTTTAGTTTTTATTAAAAATACCAAACAACTCACTCTTACTGTAACTATGCCACTGAGATTATCATTCTAACCTGCACACATGTACAGGTACTTTTCCTCCAACTATTTACCTATCATCTAGAAAAAAAGAGAAATATCAAGCACACACATTTATACTTCCTCAAACTTGGCAGGCATGATCCATGTGAAGGAGAAAGGAGGGGTGGGGGAGAGCTGTATGCTGGGTTTAGGGCAGTGGAATACAAAAGAAACAGAAAACACCACATGCATCATCACCATCAGTAATCAACCTGATGAAAACAAACCCAAATATTAGATGGATTCATGTATGACATCCACTGAAAATCTCAAACCCTAAGCACACTGAAGCTGGCAAAACACCTTGTGCCACTTCACCTAGGTCCAGACACAGCATCAGCAACTAAGATCAAACAAACCTTGAAAAGAAAGCAAAAGGAAGAATAAACCAGCCTGGAGACAACAATCTTCCACAAACCACTTCCCTGCATTATTATCAGATACATTTTACCCTTAAGCAGTTTCACAAAGGAGTGGGGGAGAAAAGAGACCCACTACCAGTCGTCGTCTTTTTTGTTTTTCAAACTGGCTCAGCACCAGCACCAGCTCAGAGAGAGGGAGAGAAAAATAATTCTTCAAACATGATCCTTGGTACTTGATTAAAAGGTTGCCAGCCAGCCTTTGACACCCTGGATTGCCAGGGGGTCCGAAGTGGAGTGGATGCAACTGCGCTGCTCGAGGGCCTCTGCGCCTGCTACGAGATCTGCTCCGTGGGCCTCATCTGTATATCCCCGATCTGCAAGAGACAACACAGGGTTTCACTGCAGCCCCCTGGAAAGGCTGCACTGTGGAGAAGGAGGCAAAGGTGAACGTGCCTGCTGTGCCTTTAGCAGGAGGGAGAAAAGCTCAGATATGCACAGAAAAGGTGCAAGGGGGCACTGGCTGCGGAGTGTCACGGTTCACATCCTGCTCCCAGAGGGCCAAGCAGCAGCTCTGCTCCAGCAGCCACAGGCAGGACCTTTTATCTTTCAGCCACAGGCAGGACTTTTTATCTTTTTAGGCCAAGAAGGCCAGGCATCCCCACGGATCCAGTGTCAAGACGGCCACGTCTCGCCCCAGGGAGCAGAGTTCACCCCAAGGGGCTGTTGAGCCTCCCATGATCAAAGTCTGCTTTCACAACAGGAGCTTTCATGTTGCACGTGGTAAACACTGACACTGCTCCTGCCTCCCCCTGGCTCCAGCTCAAAGCTGGTCACCTATTTCTTGTTCCAGGGGAGGGAATCCCTGAGGCAGCACAAGCATCTCACACACCCTCAGGGACGTGCTCAGCACTCGGCAGGATCAGGCCCAACACGTCATTTGGCGACTGGCACAGTTCAAGACTCTCAGCAAACCTCAGATGGCACCACCCAAAAGGGCAGAGTGTGCCCATATCCCTCACATTCCTTCTGCCTTGCACAGTCCTCCTCTGCAGTCACAGAATGATAGAATGTCCTGAGCTGGGAGGGACCTGCAGGCATCACCCAGTCCAGCTCCTGGCCCTGCACAGACACCCCAACAATCCCACCCTGTCCCTCAGAGCGTTGTCCAAACCCTCCTGGAGCTCTGGCAGCCTTGGGGCTGTGCAATCCCAGACCCTGAGCAGTGCAATCCCAAACCCTGAGCAGTGCAATCCCAAACCCTGGGCAGTGCAATCCCAAACCCTGAGCAGTGCAATCCCAGACCCTGAGCAGTGCAATCCCAGAGCTGCCATAAAGGAAGTGTAAACAAACGTGATCCCCACTAATCCCCAGCCCAGGCTCACTAAGCTCAGGGCTGATACAGTGGCTGATCAGCAAATGTCAGGGCAGCCCTCACCCCCTCCACCCTCAGCCCCAGCCTACCTGTACATGGGGGGGAGCACTGAGGACATATATGACAGCATTGGCCATATCTTCAGCTTTGAGACACTGCAAAGACAGGAAAGGGATTCTCAGTCAAAGGGCACTGCAGAAAGTTAACCACAAGATCACCCCTCTCCTGACCATCAATAATGAGTTTTGACAGTGTCACTGGGGCATGTCAGAAAGATGCAAGCAAGCAGGAAAAAAAATAATCCATTCAGAATTTGACAAAGGATGCATCTGGTGCTGATAATTCTTCAATTGCCATGGATAATTTTACTACCGGCACGGTAATTCTGCCAGGTCAGGCATTGCCACCCTTATCAAAAATTCCCAGGGAAGCACGAGGAATCCTGTGCCACCTGCAAGACAACACGCTCTCACAT